CCCCTCCGGCGAAACGCTGACGCGCCCAGCACCCCGAAGCAGCACCCCGAAGCAGGACCCCGGCACGTGCCCGTTGCTCAGCACCCCTCTCTGGAGCCCCCCGCAGCATTCGAAAGTGGAAGGGCGGAGGAGGACAGGGAGGAGGAGCAGCAGCAGCAGGAGGAGGAGGACAGGGAGGAGGAGCACGAGGAAGAGGAGGAGGACGAGGAAGAGGAGGAGGAGGAGGAGGAGGAGGAGGAGGAGGAGGAGGAGGAGGAGGAGGAGGAGGAGGAGGAAGAGGAGGATCAATCTGCGGTTCGGTGCGGTGCTAAGGATCTCGCTCGCTCCGCTCGCCAGGGAAGGAGATCCAGCGCCGATCCCAGAAATCCGCGCGGAGCTCCGAAAGCCCGTGTCGATGCAGCTTCCTCTCCCTCGACTCATCTTGCCCTCGCTCGGACGCCCATTCCCCATGCACTGTTCGGCCTCGGGCACGTACTTCTCCGCAAGATGATGCAGCATGCTCCTCGAATAGCCCTGGCCGGGGAAAACGGCACGTCCGAGCGACGCCAAGTCATTGGACGCCCCCGACCTGTGGGCCCCCGGGGCGCCCGCCGGGGCCGCCCCCGGCCGGGCCCGCCCCGGCCCCGTCTCGGGGGAAGGACAGCCTCTCGGCGACTCCGCAGGGTGTGGCCTGCAAAGGGCATGGCCTGCAACCGGCACCCGGGGGGGCACGCTGGTGACCAGAACACAAGCGACAACACCACCACACCTACGGCCCTACGGGGCCTGGCGCATACCAGGAGATCTGGCGTGGGTCTTCGCGCGGTATACGCTATAGGCGCCCGACGGATGGGCCGTGTAGCGCAACATGGAGGGCCATAGGTGGAGTGGTGTCGCTTGTTTCGTTGGTCGCCCTGGGGGGCGAGGAACTCGACAGAGCTCTCCGCCGCGCCCCGAGGCGGCCCGACGAAAACAGCGACGTGCTTTCCTGGCCCCACGGCGCCGATCGCAAGCCACACCCAGGCAGAACCACACCCTCCCTGAAATCCGACGTTGCAGACAAACAAAAACATAGCAGAAAATCGCGCCCGCACCCCCGGAGCCCATCTTACTGCACCATTTCTCTAGCCCGATCGATCTGTGAGGGTCCTGGGGCCCGAAACTGAGCGAAAACGCCGGGCGTGAAAAAATGAGGCCGCCAGGATCTCAGGGCTCTAGACGCCGATGCCTCCAGCGCAGGTTCTGCACCCGCGCGGCGTGCACGTGGCCGAGGTCCCCCTGGCGCGAGTGGCCCGACGGCACCCGCACATCCAACCGCGCAGCGCAGGCGCACCGCTCCTCGCCGCCGCCGTCGCCGTCGCCGTCGTCGTCGTCGTCGACGTCCCCTGAACTCCTGGCGTCGCAACTGTGTGTCACAAGGGGCGATCCCCATTTGGGGCCAGGGGGGGCCCCCTCACGGGCCGATCCGGCTCGAAAAAAAAACCGCAGAAAAACGAGGCCCAAGGCTCCGCTCGAGTTGTCTCACGATGTTGGT